ACGCCTGGCCAGTGTGCCCAAGACGGTCAAGGGGTGAGTCCATCTGTGACACCCAGAGCAGAGGAGCCCATGGACAGAGGATGGACACCAGGGACCAGGAGTCTGGACGCAGGGTGGGTCTTTTCCCCAGGGAAGGACACCATGGACCAAGAGTCTAGACCCAGGGCGAGTCTGGTCCCCGGGGAAGGACACCAGGGACCAGGAGTCTGGACGCAGGGTGGGTCTGGCCCCGGGGAAGGACAGCAGGGACCAGGAGTCTGGATGCAGGGTGGGTCTGGTCCCCGGGGAAGGACACCAGGGACCAGGAGTCTGGACGCAGGGTCGGTCTGGTCCCCGGGGAAGGACACCAGGGACCAGGACACCCCGGGAGCAAGCGCCGGTTTCCCAGTCGTGGCAGCCACGTCAGGTCACCACAGGCCCTGGCCGGGCGCAGGTCGCCCTGCACCATCCTGGCCACTGTCCTGGAGACCTGGAACTGCTCCAGTATGAGGCCCTAAGCAGGCGCATGCCCACCTGGGGTGCAGGGCGGGCCCTCAGGGGAGCACCCTCTTACCGTAGGCCTGCTGCTGCCCGGGGTAGCTCTGCTGGTTGGGGTACTGCTGCTGGGAGTAGGTCTGCGGCTGGGCGGTGCCCTGCTGGTACCCAGCCTGCTGCTGGCTGTACTGGGAGTTCCCTGCAGAGAGAAGGGCATGCGCTCACCGCCGGTGGCCAGCAGCAGGCCCAGGTGGGCCGTCCACATGTTCGAAGTCTACATCTCCTCTTGACAAAGAGCTACATGGCCGGCGCGGCCACTGGCCAACGCCAACGCCCTGGGATGCACTGGGCCCCACAAGACAGGCCGAGTCCTGAGAGGAACCAGGGCCTTGCAGACCTAACTGGAAGGCGCCCTGGACACAGCCGTGTGGATGAAGCCATGTGATGGAGCCATGCTTCTCCACGCCAAAGACGGAGGGGGCGGCCAGTGGCTTCTCATGGGACGTGCCCTGCTGACCCCCGGCCTCCGCCTTCAAGCCTCCAGAGCAATGGGTTCCTGTTGCTTTAGGTGGCCAGATGATGGTCCCTTGCCACCGAATGCCCAGGAGACTGGATGGCCCACGAGCACAGCACCAGCGGCAGCTGGAAGCGAGAAGGACACCACAGCACTGACCAAAGGCACCTTGGCTGTGAAGGCCCCTGGCCAGGCGAGCGGGCAGAGCACCACGTCTGGAAGGCCCAGGAAATGGCGCAGGGAGGCCAGTAGAGCCTAGCACAGCTGCCTGCAGGCATGCACCTTCCCTCGTGTTTTCAGACAGCGGGGCAACCCAGGTACTGAGAAATGGCTACCAAGCCAGGGATGGTCAAGCGGGTCACAAGAGAGCTCCAGCAGTCTCCTGGACCACCCTGTGCAGTGAGCACTGCTGTCGTCCCCACTCTGCAGGTGGCGAAATGGACGCAGTAGCCTTCCTTGGAAGACAGGCATTCAGACCCACAGGCCCTCTCATCCTGAGCCACTAGCCACAGCAGGGCCTCTGGGAGGGGCGGGACACCTGTACCCTGTCTCCAGGCCACTGCCTTCTCCTAGGGACATGCAGTGTGATGCCCAGGAGGCTCATGGCAGAGGGTCGCCTGGACACGTCCCTCAGGTCCAGATGCAGTCAGCTGAAGGTCACATCCCTACTGGGCCCAACGGGCTCCAGGGCTTTGGGGACATCAGGCTGAGGCCACAGCTGATCCTGGGGACCAAGTTCCTACTTCACCCAGTGCATGCGGGCAGAAGCTTCCCACAGGCTGCCGTCGCCAGCAGGTGGGCAGAAGGCAAGAGGGCGCCGGCTCTCACTTCCTCTTCCTTCAGAGAAAACACTTGTGCTCGTTTCCAAAATCCGACTCCTGGCTGTGCCCTCGCCAAGGCCTTTTCATTTCAGAGACATCAAGTGGTGAAGTGGCACACGTGTGCAGACAGCCTCGCCAAGCTCAGGGCACTGACGAGCTGCAGCCTCCCCACGCCGACTGCAGGGCCAGCAGGTCAGAGTCCAGGCAGGGACGCCTCCCCCAGGAGGTGTCTAGACCACGTCCTGCCTCCTGCTTTCATTTGTGTGGGACCACATCTGCGTGGCCCAATTCAAGGTCCAGGAGGGGACAGAGGCTGGGGCAGGGGCTGGGAGGCAGGTGCACCGCTGGGACCCAGAACATGCCCAAAAGGAGTGGCTCTTCTTATGAAAACGTCCCTGGAAATACAGGGCGGCACCCAGGGGCCCAGGGCGAGATCCCAGGAGCCTGTGCTCCTGCGACCGGTCTGGCTACGGGCGACGACTTTTCTAGGACCTGCAAAAGTTAAGTCCTTTGAAACCGAGTCCTAGTAACAGACTTCTAGAAAGCCATCTGCGTCCGTCCCACGGTCCGCCCGCCGTCTGAGCGCCCAGCTTGAGCTCTTAACCCAGGCTCCTCCTCAACACGGAGCTGGCTCTAGCAAGCCGAGGGCAGGCGAGGCGACTCCAGGGAGCCAGAGGACTCGGCTCAGTCCAGCACTCAGGACTCACCAGAGCCTCAGCAGGCCCCTTGGGGGCCTCGGGTCTGGCCAGCTGCACTATTCTTGTATTCCCTGGCCCCATTTTTACTCTTCATGAAATGACAGGTAAAGGTGCCTGCTCTTGTGCACCTGGAAAACCTCCAGGGATCTGGGAGGAGCAAGCACAAACGTCAGATGTCTGACAGCAGGCGCGTGGATGGGGCCTCAGCAGAGCTGGACAGCCCCGGCCCGGCCTCCGCGCCACCAGGCACACACACGCTCCACCTCTCCCACTCCCAGCTCTCTGTCTAGGAACCCGCAGCCTCCTGTGATGTGGTCATGAGGGATAAAGGGCAGCACTACATACAGTGGAAGGAGAGGCCAGCCCTGGCCAGTATACATGCTCAGCTTACTAACACACGGTCAGGGCGTGGCGGCACGAACAAGGGACAAATTAATGAGTTCTGGAAGCAGAAATGCAGCATGGGGTGCGCTCTGCTGCTGCTGGGATGCTGCCAGTCTGAACCCCCACTCCTAGGGGACATGTCAGTCACACTTGGAAGGGTCCTGAGCAACACCCAAGAGGACACACCAGGGGCTCTTGGGACTCCAGGAAGCGCAGATGGTGTGGATGACCGTACAGCTAGGGTCCTCCTGTCCTGGTTGACAGCCAACATTTGACACTTCCAACTCTAACCTCTAAATAAGCAAATTCACTCTCATTATTCAGAAACGTAAAACCAAACAGGGGCCCACCTCGGGGAGGGACAGAGGGCACGCCACTCCTGCCGCGCTGCCCCCCCCCAACTGTTCTCACTGGTGTCTTGGATCCTTTCCCGGCTGCCTGGGGTGTGCTGAGGCAGCGTGGCTGAGCACAATCCTGTCCTCCCTCTTGTCTGCTCTGTGCCTGGCCTCTGCAGTTCATAGGGAGCACCTCTTCCAGGGTCGTGCCCAGGGGCACTCAGGAGGGACTCGCTCTGTGAGGGCTGTGCTGCTGCAAGCTCATCACAGTGCCAAGCCCACTGTACCCGAACCCCTCCGGTCAGCACTCTATGGTGTCACACTCCTACCCAGCTCACTCAGCCCACCCCAGCCCTCCTGCCTCTGGTCCTTGATGGTCAGTGTCTATGATCCACAAGGCTCCTGTGGAAATTCTTTATGTTGGCCTCTGACTTCCAGGGGCTGCTCTGCACCCGAAGGAGGCAAGACCTATACCCCAGTCCTCAAAACAGCACTCCACTTCTCACCTCACCCAGGACCTCACAACGCACCGCTGTGGGGCGAGACAGACCACAGTCCCTTTGCACAATTTCCTCATGCTGCAGTCTAATGAGAAGAACGGAACACAGCTCTTCTCAATCCAGGAGAGAGCCAAGCCATCTGCCACCATGCTGGCATTATATCCACTTTTGTCAATTACACCTTAATAAAGCTGGGAGGAAAACTGGAAATATAAAATAATAATAATACAATAATTAAAAAAAAGAAAAACACAGTGGCACAGTGATGCACACCTGTAATCCCAATGACCTGGGAGGCTGAGGCAAGAGTACCTCAAGTCCAAGGCCAGCCTGGGAAACTTAGCAAGACTGCCTCAAAATGAAAAATAAAAGACGGGAGTGGCTCAATGGTAGAGCACCCCTAGGTTCAACCCCCTGTACCGCTGAAAAAACAAACCCAAGTCTGCATCTTTATGGTGCACAAGAGGTATGACGTGGGTGTACGTGTGGGTGGTTTCTCCACAGCAGGTTGGGACCCATTAGCTCAACAGCAGAATACCTATAGATCCAGTTCTCAGAAAAATAGCCCCAACAAGTGCACGCAGCCCGTGGGCCTGCCTGCTTCCAGACAGCTGTTTCTGTGGAAAGAGGGGGCCGTGAAGAAGGTCCCTGGCTGCGGCACCACACGCAGCCTCTCCCAGACCAGCGCTGGCCCACCATCCTTTCTAGATGGGGCCCCTCCGGGAGGGAGGTCCCTCATGCAGACTCACTCTGTGCTGCCCGACAGAGCCAGGTCCTCCCACGTCTGACGGTCCTGCCTTTACTCCATCAGCTCCTAAGGCCCTCAGACCCGTTCATGCTGGCCACAGACAACTGCCCGGCAGCTCAAAGCCGGCCCTCTGCCCAGGGCCCTAGGCAGGACGAGTCCTGAGAAGCACCCAGGAGGTGGGGCATGTCTGCTGGTGTCTATTCTGGCGTGAACTGCTTGTGCGGCTGCCAGGACCATCGAGGTGCCCGTACGCGACTGTCCCTGCAGACCCTCTGGGTCTGTGTTCCTCTGCAGCTTCCCGTCCTGGGAACCCGCCTCAGCACCAGGTGGGGCCAGCAGGCCAGTGTCTGCAGGCGGAAAGCCTGGGGGCCAGACCCACCCCTCAGGACAAGCAGGGTGGGCTCAGCAGTGCAAGAAGGTGGAGCAGCCCAGGACGCTCACTGGGTCCTGGCAGGTGGCCTGCCGCCAGCCTTCTGGAGGACTTTCCCTGTTTTCAAATCTTCTAGAATATTTTGCCTCGTGTAATTAAAAACCAGGATGGCTTTGTGGAAAGCAGTGTGCGGGCTCCTGGAGAAGCACAACTGCCCGTGAGCCACAGTCCCACCTCCAGGCCCGCTTGAGGGTGGAGAGCAGGGACACAGGTGCAGCCTGCCACCTTCACCACACACCATCAATGACAGCCCAAGCACAGGCCAAGTGTCGGGAACAGAGGAGGGCAGAGGAAGCACATGGCGGGACTTCAGAAAGGGCCACCCGGCCCCGCCACCACAAGGAAGTGGAGGACACCAGTGGGCTGTGGCGAGCTGGTCAGGGAGGCCCCAGGCAGTGCACACCACGGAGGCCGAGGCAGAAAGGTGGGTGGGTGGGGGGGCAGGGCTAGCGTTCAGTGGGGACAGTCTTGGTGTCAGGTGTGGGAAGCCCTGTGTGTGTGGGCGGCATGGTGCTGCGCGCCACTATGAATGTGCGCAGGCCACTGGGCAGGCTGTCTGAACAGGGCTACATGGTAAGTGTCATCTGTGGCCTATTTACCACAAACGCATGTAAGGAACGCACCCGGAGCGTGGCCTAGGCAAGCCACCTGTTTCTTGCTCTCCCTCAGCCGGCCCGTCATAGCCCTGCCATTCCCACCACCGACGTCTGCACCAGGAAGCCTGGAACTCGGCAGCAGAGGCCCAGCAGGTCTGTGAGCTGAGGGCACTCGGGGCTGCGCTCACCCGCAGGGGATCTGACCTCGCAGCTCTCTCCCCAAGGCACCTTCAGCGATGGGCCACTGGTGGCCAGGGCGGGCACACTCACACCATGAAGTGGGAAGGCCAGGGCTGTCTGCCTGAGAGCAAGCTCCCATCATCCGCCACCTCACCTTCACCTGACAGGTGGCGTGGCCATGGCGCTCTGGGCAGGGCTGCAAGCGCCTGGCCCAAGACATGTCTGACCCGGTCGGCAGGGCTCTGGAGAAATGCTGGGCCAGACCTGATCATGCTACCCCACCCCACACACTCCCGGCCTGGCTCATGAGGGCTTTAGGTGCCTCGGTCCCTGCTGGGTGGCTCTGATTGAGGAGGCTGAGAGCAGCTCCCAGGCCACACACTGGACAGCTGGACTGCACGGCAAGTTTGTCCCCAGCACCCCCAGTGTCCAGCCGAAGCTCTCCCATATCCCAACACACCAGGCAGGCAGGACCCGGCACCTGGCGGAACACCCACATCTTCTAGGAGAAGGTTCTCGCAGCTCTGTGCCACCGTGTGTCTGGGTCCAGGGCGGGCCCGGGCAGCACTGCTGGCTCTCAGGGGCGTAGCGTCCCCGCTCAGGGCTGCTTACCCCCCTCATAGTAGTGCTGTGTGGACTCCTCGAAGGAGCGCTCGTAGCTCTGCTCCGAGTAGGACGACTGCTGGTAGGCATAGTCACTGTGGCCTGCAAGAGACGGGCATCGGCTGTGGGCAGGCCGCACGCTGCCTCTCGGTCCTGGGGGAGATGTGTGAGCCCAGGAAAGGACAGTCGGGCCAGGCCAGGGACATGGCAGAGCGGGTCAAGGGCCTGATTCCCCAGGTGGCCACACCCTGACCCCAGCAACTTGGGGGTTGACAAGTTCAGGGCAGCCTCAGCCATCAGGATAAGAGGGAGACGTGCCTGGGACATAGCTCCAGAATCAAAAACAAACCAACAAAACGCAGGCGTCACTTCCCACTCCCCGGGCTACTGAGAGGCCAGGTCCAGTCTGTCACAGCTGGCTCCGGGAGCACCAGCTGCTCTCCTCTGGCCCTGCTTGGCTCTTGGGGCTTCTGGGCAGGGTGCTGTGTGGCACTATGACGACAGGGACACAGCCTGCCCATGGCTGGCCTCGGTGAGCACCTAGCACCCATTTCCCAGCAGGAGGGCACCTGCCTCACGCCCAGGCTCACTGGGCAGCCCACCCGGCTGTCCTCTAGGGAGCCCTGTCTTTGTCTTCCCAAACCTAGGCATTTTTTAAGACCAGTTTAAATGCTACCTTCTCAAATCCTGGGATGATCTAAATGGACAATCAGAGGTGACAAGTGGCGGGTGCTGTGCAGGCCTGCCAGCCCCCCGAGGCCGTCTCAGGCTCCGTCTGTGGCAGACAGGCCCTCCCAGCTCAGACTCCATGGCTGAGCCTGCGTCCTGCCCCCGGTGCTCGGGCCTCACCCTCGGGGTAGTACTGCTGGCTCATGGGCTCCGAGGCGGCCTGGCTGTGGCCGTAGGGCTCGCTGTAGTACTCCTCCTGGCCCAGGTACTGCTGCGCAGAGCCTGCAGGCAACACACGCTCAGGACCCACCCCGCGTGGGGCAGCTTTCCTTGCAGCCAGGACCCAGATGGGCAGCAGGGCCCACCACCAAGAACTCACCCGGGGCCAGGACCGCAGCCACCAGGCCTGCCCTCCTCCCGCCCCAGCAAGGCTCTGGGTCTTGCATCTGTAACCACCACCAGCTGCCCCTCCCCCGGTGGCCCAGAGGACCACAGCCCCACACCAGGTCACCTCTAGAACACGCGGACCCTCAGCAGGCCCAGTGTCCTCGCTCACGCACAGGTGGGGAAACGCGGGAGCAGGGGTCCTGGGTGCATGCTCCCCTGAGGGCCTCACCTTGCTGGGAGGGCCGGTAGGGCGCCATGGGCCGCTGCCCCATCATGCTGCTGCCCTGGCCGCCCTGGCCCATCATGGCCATGGACGACTGGCCCTGGTAGTGCTGGCTCCCGCCCTGCGCAGAGCTGTAGTGGGATGTGGCCGCCTGCTGGTGCATCATGGAGACTGTGTGACAGAGACCCCGAGTCACCTGGGAAGCCCAGGCTAGCCCCTGACCCACCCCCCCCGCCATGTCACCTGGACCCCAAGGCATGCCTCCCAGCGCAGGGTCAGGGCCCAGGGCTGGGTGCTGGTCTACACGTGCCTCTGGGCAGGAGGACGGGGCTCCCACAGCAACACACCATGGCCCCGCAGCTCTCCGCAAACCCTAGCCCAAGCAGTCCTGACCTTCCCTGTCCCTGGGCAGGTCCTGAGTCACACTGTCCCCTGAGCACCCCGACTGACCCGCCTGTTGGCCTGTCACACTCGTCCTGCTCAGAGGTGCGGGGCAGCTCCAGAGAGACAGGCAGGAGCCACCGTTTTAAGGTTTCTAGCAACCACGTTGGAGAAGAAAGGGGGGTCTGTCCTGATACGTCAATGCTTCCAAGTTAAATTTTAGCACGTGATTAACAAACTTGGGAGGCATTTCACCTCCTGTTCTGTAATAAGCTCTAAAGACTAGTGTTTGTAACCCAGGGAACATCCTGCACCGGGAGCTACTCCACCGAGCCCATGGGGCTCCCAGACCCAGGCCATGCTGCCCACCCCCCCACCCGGGGTCCCCGGAGAAGCAGCCCAGAGTCACCATCACTGCATGCCACTGGCTTGGCCCTATGGAGGCCTGGGGGAGGCAGCCAGCCTACTGATACTCTCCTTCCCTGTGCCCAGTACATGGGTGATCCCGGGACCCACAGGCACGGCCTGCACATACTCCCAGTGCGAGGAGCCGGCCCACGGTGAGTACCTGGGTTGGACTGCATGTTGATGTTGGTCCGAGACACATAGTTGCTGATGGCGCCCTGGCCCTGCATCGGGACGCTCTGAGAGGCAGGTCCCGAGTGGCTGTAACCAGGTCCCGAGCCGTGGCCACTGCCAGACATGCTCATGGAAGTGGTGGGCAGGGTGCTCTGCACCGTCTGCTGCATGGACACGTGACTGGGACCTGTGGAGGGCGGGCATCAGGGGCGGGGCCAGTGAGCACCTCCGTCTCCTCTGGGCAGCTCTGGGGAGGGAGGCGACTAACCCAGGTCAGCCCCAGATCAAGCAAGTGCGCACGTGACGAGCGGGTCCCTCTCCAGGCAGCCGGGCTCCACTCCCACTGGGTGCCCACTGGAACCGCACTCTGCATTCGAAGTGGGCATTGTGTGACCATGTGCGCATGGTGGGGTCTGGAGCTCTGCTCCCCGGGCCCGGTGACTCCAGGACGCGGGAGCCAGGGACACCGAGCCCAGCCCTGCAGGCTGTGGGGGCCCCACGGTGGCAGCTGCCCCTGTGGCTGTCTCAGGGACCGTGGTACTGGGAATGTCCCCTGCAAACCTGCTCACCATTGCCGATCTGGCCCTGCATGAGGGAGGCCGGGGGCAGGCCTGTGCTGATGGCGTCGCTGAGGCTGCCTTGGGGGTGCAGGCCCTGGCTGGAACCGCTCTGGCTCAGTGCTCCGGGGCCCAGGTTCATGTTCTGGGTCGGCGGCTGCAGTGACAGAAGGTTGGGAGGATGGCTAACTAAGAGCCACCAACAGCCACCTGGGATTTGGTGGCCCACAGAACTTTTACTGCATCCATGGCCATCTGTTCAATGTCCGAGACCTACAGCCACTGTCACGCTCTGCAGCACAGTGGTGGTGACCAGGCCCCAACATCTCAGGCCTAGTGGAGACAACACAGTGTAAACAAGAGCCCAGCCTGTCCACACACACTTGGGTGTTCAAAAACTGGTCCCCTTGCTGGGACGACAGGGAACCCCTTTGCTGGCCCCCCATATCCTTCTCAGGATCGTCTGACAAGCACCTCAGTGTCCACATGTGGCTCAGTGTAGAGGACCCCTGTGTTCTATCCCGGGACAAACACTACCCCCTCAAAAAAGCCAAACACTGAGACTGACATCTAGAGTATTTGTGGCACTGGGGGTTTTCCTGGTTAAGCTCCGCTTCCAGTCACACTGGGCAAGGCCGAGTCAGAGCCCTGGCCCCAAAAGACAAGGAAGGGCCCAGCAGGCCCAGAGGGACCCCACTCCAGTGCTCAGATACCGGCCGCCCACCCTCCCAGGTTGCCTGCTGGGGGTCGAGTCACCCTCCCCAACGGGAGGGACCTGTGCTCCGCCGGCAGGTCTACCACCAGCGTGACAGAACGGTTCACACCACAGCCCCAGGCCCAACGCCTGCCTCCCCAAGATGAGGTCCCTCAGGTCACCTTCCTACTGGAGGTGACACGCTGGGAACCTGGACCTAGGCAGTGTGTGGCTCCTGGCGGTAAGTGGGGAGCCCTGGCCCCCGTGCCTGGCACTCACGGCGGGCAGCAGCGACTGCATGTTCTGGTTGGAGTCAGCTATGGTGGCCAGGTAGACCAGGTTCCGGTGCAGGATCTGCTGGTACCTGTGGGGGGGACACGCAAGTGAGGCAGAGGCAGGTTTAACCAGGAGCTGGGACCTCTAGCTAAACCCTGTCAGGACCCTGGCCCCAGAGGACACCAGGCACGGGCCCCACGGCCTGGTCAGAAACAGACAGGTGGCAGCGCTGGGGGTGCAGCAGGGCAGGCAGGAAGTGGACCCAGCCCAGCGCTGAGCAGGCTCCCGCCCCGGGAGGAAACGGTGCTGGGTCTCTTCAGAGAGTGCAGGTGGGGGACTGGCTCCAGGAGGCAGAGGCCACAGGGGACAGAGCAGGCAGTGGCCCAGCGTTGGGCTAACTCTACAGCCAGCTGCCCGAGCACCCCAGAGGACACAGAAGTGACAGGGACCCCAGGCTCTCCCACGTCACACCCGGGGTCCCATCCCCATACACTCATCACTTGTGGGGGACTTGAGCCCCCCCACTGAGCCTGGTGACCCACAGGCACACTCAGCGGGAGGTGCCAGGTCATGGAAGGCCAGGGCAGGCCCTGGTGTGTCCACAGCTATGAAGGCCCGGGCCCCCTGACCCCCCCCACACTCACTGGGTGCACTCCGCCGTCTTGCCCTTGCTCTGGTAGTCCAGGATGCACTGGATCAGGTGGTGGTTCTCGTCCAGCATCTGCAGCAGACGTGGGTGTGAACGGGGCCTGGGCACCAAGGCTTCCTCGGAGCAGCCACAGGGCATCCGCCCAGCAAGCCTAGCTAGTTCACCACAGGGTGCAGGACCCCGCGGGGTGCCTCGGAGCCCCATCTGCAGGGCGTGACAGGTGCTCAAAGCATAGCAGACCCCAACAGGCGTACCACCCATGTGACAGGAAGGCTCACACCACCAGCCCAGGCCCTGAGCCCGGCCTGAGGTAGCACACAGGGTCCTGCCCTGGGGACAGGAGGAACTGCAGGCACACGGCCTGGGGCAGGAGGCAGGCAGGATGAAGGAGCTGAACAGGACACACAACTGTGGCCACTGACCCGCAGCCTCACCCCTCAGGTCTCTGCCACCTTAGTGCCACATGAGCTGTGGGTGGGACAGACGGGCCTGCACCCCGCAGGGAACCCCGTTGGCCTCGCACGGCGTAGGTGTGTGACACGCACCGACTCAGGACCTGAAACCCAGGCTGAGACCAAGGCCACTGAAAGGCAGGCGTGGGCACCCCAGAGCTGGGCAGGGCTCTCAGCGAGGGTGCACAGTGCCAGGGTCAGGAAGGCCAGGCTGCTCCCCAGGCACGCTCCACACAGCAGCATCAGTACTGCAGGGACTGGTCAGAAGCAGGTTCTCGAGCCTGTCCCTGCCCAGGTGGTGTGCCCAGAGGCCTCTGAGGAGCACTGGGCTGCCTCACTGTCCTGGTATGTGCCTATCCAGCAGAGAGGACGAGGTAGTGGGGACAGGAGCCTGGGTATGAAGGTGACTGTGGGCAGCGGGGAACCACACCGGTTTGTGGGCATGGAGGTCACGTGAGAGCCCCTACTCCCAGGTGGCTACTTGGGGGCAGCACAAGGATGGCTAGGGAGGCCCAGGGGGTGGCCACGGCGGGTGGGACAAAGAGGAAGGGAGCTGTGGGAACCACAGCACACGGCCACAGGAGCCATTCCCTACCTGGAGGGACCATGCCCTCCACGGGACAGAGCGCATGGCACCTGTGTCTCCTCATCCCCGGAGGCCTCTCCTCCTCTCCTCTCTCAAGAAGAAGGAAGGACAGGCAGGCACAGTGGCCCATATCTGTGATCCTAGTGGCTCGGGAGACGGAGGTAGGAGGGTTGTGAGTTCAAGGCCACTTCATCACTGTGGCAAGGCCCTGCCTCAAACCCAAACACACGGCCACCTCAGCCCCCAACAGCAAGGGGAAGAGGGGCCCACCTGCCCACTGTCCCTCAGGGCTGCCTACTTTTCCTCCTCCCTCCAATGCGGGTCCCTGAAGTCTGTCCTTGGGGTCTAGCTCCTGGAGCACTGGCTATGCCGCCTGGAGGGCGAGCACAGCCTACAGTTCTGTAAGTTTCCACGCCCTTCTCTCCACAATCTTTTTTTTTTTTTTGGTATCAGGAATTGAACCCAGGGCCTCTGCCCCTGAACTACATCCCCAGTCTCTTGCTAAGTTGCCTAGGGTCTAAGTTGCCCAGGCTGCCTTGAACTTGTGACTCTCCTGCCCGGCCTCCTACACCCCTGGAACCACAGGCCTGCCCCACCTCTGCCCCTCTACTTCCTGTAGCGGTCTGCCCCACTGTGACAAGATGCCTAGCCCAGCTCAGGCGCGGAGCCGTCCTGAAACAGGGAACCACTAGGGGGCGCTGCCAGCCAGCAGCTGCCACAGAGCTCGCCTGTGTGCAGGTGGGGGCAGCTAAACACATGGAAGAGGGCACTCCGGGTCCTTCTCCAGACTGATTAAAGAAAGAAGCCCTGGGATTTCTTGTTTTGATCCCAGCATCCAACTCCTGGTTACCCACTCCCAGGCAGGATTCTCTCCAAGGACACTAATGGATGCTGCGAAGCCACCTGGGCCACCCACAGTAGCTCAAGTGGAGAAATGCTAGGTGGTCGCTGTGAGGATTATGGTACAACCACAGGATGGGACACTGCCCAGCCATGGAGATGCTTCACAGCTCGCTCTCACACAAGGAGACACTGGGCGGCTCTCGGGATGGTTTAGAGGCAGCACACAGAGCTACAGCTCCCGTAAGTTAGAAATCCTTGTAGGAAAGGGGAGGGATGCAGGCTGAGCGCCAGACTCTCGAAGATCTGCCCACAGAGTAAGGGACAAGAGAAGAAGAAATGCAGGAGGCCCAGAACAGGGCTCAGAGAGCAGCTGGAGGGAGAACCGCAGAGCCAGGGTGCTGATCCAAGCGGGATCTGACCTGCTGCACAGAGCCACGTGGGCAAAGGCCAAGGAGGCTCAGGACCTACTCACCCCTGACCCCAGAGCACTGGGGCCCTCTTGGCAGGAGATAAGATGTCCAGCCTGGGAGGAAAGATGCTGGACTCCTGAGAGCAGAGAGCACCTCCCAGCAGAGCCCCCAGCACACGCCTGGCTGGAGTACAGTCGAGCCCCACCACACCTGCTCCCCCAGAAGGAATGAGGCCTATTTGGAGGCTGAGAGGCAGCAGCCTGCAGAAGTTGGAAGCCATGGCAAATGCTTGGGAGACCAGGACCACGACGTCTGGCAAATGATGGATAAAGAGCAGTCATCACCAGGAGAGGGGATGGAAACCTGTTTAAAACAGCACCAAGGGCCAAAGAACTCCTGGGAATAAAAACTATTCAGGGGGCTGGGCTGGAGCTCAGTGGTAGAGCGTCCGCCTCGCATGTGTGAGGCCCTGGGTCCGATCCTCAGCAGCACATGGAAATAAATCAAGGTATGGTGTCCAACTACGACTAAAACAGACAAACAAAAAGTCCAGGTGTCTTCAGAATGAAAGGACCCCTAGGAGAGAAACAAGACTGACGGAAAAGCGATGCGATGACAGGGACGGCGGGGCTCCTGAGAGGGATGACCCAACTGGAGACTGCAGAGGGGTGGAGACCTGAGGGGGCGACTTCTGGCAGGGCGATGGCATTGCAGAGGAGACCCCAGGAGGGCAGTGAGCCCCCAGAGGAGAACCCTGTGGGCGTGATGACCTGGCCCTGACGGAGGGTTCCAGAGTCACCGATCTAGCTGAGGGACTCCAGAGGGGTGATGGAGGAGCCTGACCTAATGGACAAGAATTGTCAAGGCAGGATCCTGGAACCCGGAGGAGGAGACCCAGCCCGGGGACTTCTGTAAGCACCGCAGACCACTGAAGGAACCCGACACCGTCCACATTTACCCACGGCAGAGACGGCAGTTAGGCGTGAGAGTTCCAAACAGCTCACACTTACACACGCAGGGTCCACAGGCAGTGCCTCCTGCCTGGGGCCTATCACGAGGAACGGAGTCCTCAGCTCTCTTGCCAAGGGCCATTGCTGCATTCTGGCCCCTCCTCTACGCATCCAGAGCTCGGTGAAAAGGGTGAAGGCAGTCACGATGACACTTTAGCCACAAACACAGCTCACTAGGTCACTTTGGATTCGTTTTCAAACCGAGAAAACCCAGGCCTAGAAAGCCCATGTGTGGACGGTCTCAGTGAAACAGGAAAGTGAACCCAGGACGCTGGCCCACTGCCCTCCTCAGTTCCACCTGTGTCCACATCCGGGCCTGCTTGGCAGAAGCCTTCCTTCCACCTGTGGGACAGCAGGCCTTTCCAACCCTCTGCCTTCTCTCCCTTCACATCACAGATCAGGCACCAAAGCCGGGCTCTGTCTCTTTCCAGCTGCACAGGGTTTATAGGACATTCATGCCTCTAAGTCACTAAAGGGTAGATACCCTTTATTCCTGCACTGCCAGGGGCAGTAGGCATTTCTGCAGCCTGCTGATTAGGGGTTCCAATGAAGCTTCCCTGTGACGCCAAGCACTCAGAGGCAAGTGGCCTGCACTGACCCACTGGCCTAGAAACAGGCTCAGGGCAGAGGGCCAGAGTCCTGAGGAGGGCTCCTAGGGGACTACCAGGGAGTGAGCCTCACCAGCCATGACCAGAAGCTGCCCTCTCCTTTTGCCCCAGCTCCCCACAACCAGGACACCCACCAGCCTTAGAAAGGAAATAAGCACAGGGAGGTGGGCGGTGCTGTCTGTCTCCAAATGCACCCTCTCACTGGGCGGAGGAGCTCCCGAGGCCCTGGCAGTGGGCCAGCAGACACCTTGGAATACCCAGCCAGAGGGCTCACAGCCCCACTGCACTGGGTCAAGGGGATGAGGCTTGGCTGTGACTGTCCCCACCCAGGGAACAACATCCTTCCCTGCTTCACCCCACGTGCACAGTGCACTACTCAGGTTCAAAGGCTGTGCCAAGAGGATTCACAAAGAGGCCAAAAGGCCAGTTCTCCAGTGGCTCCTGGATCCCTCCCCACGGTGGACCCCAGACAGAGCACCCCATCCTGGAGATGGAAAGACAGGCTCCTGGGCTCCCCTTCAGTGGTGGGTGGAGGAGAGGAGAGGTGTCTAATCACAGTGAAAGAAGTGCTGTCACTCCTAGAAGTCACTACTTTGCCATTTTTTTTTCTTTTCTTTTGAAACCAGGGCTTGAATTGAACCCAGGGGCACTTAGCCACTGAGCTACACACCCAGAGTCCCCATTTAAATTTTTTTTTTAATTATTTAGAGACAGGGTCTTGCTGAGTTGCTGAGGGGCTTGCTAAGTTGCTGAGACTGGCTTTGAACTGGCAAACCTCCTGCTTCAGCCTCATGAGCTGCTGGGATCATAGGTGTGCACCACTATGCCCAGCACACCTCACCATGTTAATGGCAGGCTCAAGTGCCCAGGCTACTCACAGTTGTGGGGGCAGCTCTCTTCACAGGGGAAGACATACCTTTTCAACTGGATCACCTGTGTTCTCTGTGATAGCAGTTCCAAGTCCGAGGACAGCACAGAAGACCAACTGCTGACCCAGCTCCCAAGCCCTCTCCCATCATCATCCAAACCTAGGCACACATCCCTACCCAGATTGTCACCTCTCACCTATATCCCTTATATCCCATACCTGGGCACAGGTACACTGGGGCAGGGCTGTTCTGGTTTCCACCACTTCCTGGCTGGGAAAATCTGTTGCCTGAAGAATCTGAGATGCCTAAATGGGGACTGGAGTGTGAAGTACAAATTTCTGAATAAATATTGAAGCCAGGAACAGACTGTTAAATTCCAGAAGGCCATGGCTCCAGGAGACCTGTGGGATGCTGATGTGTGCCTCCAAGTCTGGGGTCCACCCTCCCGGCAGGCAAAAGTCCTGGCCGGATGCCATAGCAATAGCAGCCCCCTGCAGCCCCTGAATCTTGGTATGTCTCAATTTGCTCCACTATAAAATGGGTACGATAATGACTTCCATGAAGAATTAAATTAGTTAAGATATGTAAAGATCTTCCAACAGTGCCTAGAATGCCATGGCGCTACAGCAGTGTTTGCTAATATAAAAGCCACCCTTGCAACCCTGCATTTCGGCTCTGGGCAAACGTTTTCTCCCCTGCTTGGAGCGAGCCAGGCTCCCCACTTGTTACTTAACCACTACATTTCTAAAGACAGCAACAGCAAGGGCACTTCCGCCAAGAGAGCAGGACAGCAAGGCGAGCACACCGGGGCGGAAGAGGCTTACAGGAACCCAGGAATCCTGCTGTAGATGGAACCAGAGTCCAAAAGAGGAACAGACGCAGCTACAGAAGTCGCGGACAAGCTCCGACAGGAATGCCTGAACACTCGTTTTCTTCTCCACATCTTCTAACGGCTTTTAGGGAAGTGGCCCCCGCCCGTAAGAAGGCTTTCTCTAGAAAGCTTTGGCCCCAACAGGCGAGAAGGCGGTAGGGCAAATCTGCCGTTTCGGTTGGGCGAGGACGCTGAAAGCGGACTGACCAGGAAAGAGGGTGGGGACGCGCCAGCCCGCAGGTCTGCCGCGCGCTATGCTCAGGGCTGCGGGCCGCGGGACCTGCACTCACACCCCCGATCCGTCCCTTTGTGCCTGGCGCTCTGCACCTTACTAAAGCGGCTGCCTCGCCGTCGCCGCGCGCCCCTTCTCCACTC